AGGTAGGGGAGTCTGGGGAGGTAAAATGGGTATTTTCCAAGGTCAAAGAGGAGTTAATGGCAGAGCATCAATTAGAATTTAGCTACTCAAGGTCTTTCTTGCTGTTTGGAGTTACCTCTAGATTCTTTTTTTTTTAATAATTTAATTTTTATTTATTTATGATAGGCACACACAGAGAGAGAGAGAGAGAGAGGCAGAGACACAGGCAGAGGGAGAAGCAGGCTCCATGCACCGGGAGCCCGATGTGGGACTCAATCCCGGATCTCCAGGATCGCGCCCTGGGCCAAAGGCAGGCGCCAAACCGCTGCGCCACCCAGGGATCCCTACCTCTAGATTCTTAATGATCATGAAAACCATCTTTGATTTGACTGGAGGTGAGGATAGAAGTTAACTGAATTCCACAGGTGCTGCTCTAAATATGTATTGAATTAAAATCCTCCAGTAACTAGTTTTGTGTTCTGTGCCTTTAGGCCTGGAGCGAGGAGGAGAACGGATAGCACTAATTACAGACCTTATTTTATTTATTTTTAAAGATTTTATTTACTTATTTTTGAGAGAGAGAGAGAGAAAGAGAGGCAGAGACACAGGCAGAAGGAGAAGCAGTCTCCATGCAGGGAGCCCAAGGTGGGACTTGATCCCGGGTCTCCAGGATCACACCCTGGGCTGCAGGCAGGCTGCAGGCAGGGCTGCAGGCTGCGCCACCCAGGCTGCCCCACAGACTTCATTTTAAAGGTGAGAGCCGTTATGTTAAAATTGTTTTATATGTGGTCTTCCAAAGTAATGTAAGTAGCACCTAACACTGTTAAATATAAAAATAATTTTATTTAGGGATCCCTGGGTGGCACAGCGGTTTGGCGCCTGCCTTTGGCCCAGGGCGCGATCCTGGAGACCCGGGATCGAGTCCCACGTCGGGCTCCTGGTGCATGGAGCCTGCTTCTCCCTCTGCCTGTGTCTCTGCCTCTCTCTCTCTCTCTGTGTGACTATCATAAATAAATAAAAATTAAAAAAAATAATTTTATTTAATATTGATCTCCAGAAAAGTCACATTGGCGACTAGCCGCTCCCAGGGAAACTTTAGGGAATTTTTTTTTTAATTTTTAAATTTATTAAAATTTATTATTCATGAGAGACACACAGAGAGAGGGGCAGAGACACAGGCAGAGGGAGAAGCAGGCTCCCTGCGTGCAGCCCAATGTGGGACTCGATCCCAGAACTCTAGGATCACGACTTGAGCCCAAGCAGATGCTCAACCACTGAGACACTCAGGTGCCCCTGAGTAAATTTTTTTTTAAATTTTTAAAAATTTCTTTATGATAGTCACAGAGAGAGAGAGAGAGAGAGAGAGAGAGAGAGAGGCAGAGACATAGGCAGAGGGAGAAGCAGGCTCCATGCACCGGGAGCCCGACGTGGGATTCGATCCCGGGTCTCCAGGATTGCACCCTGGGCCAAAGGCAGGCGCCAAACCGCTGCGCCACCCAGGGATCCCCTGAGTAAATTTTTTTAAAGATTTATTTATTTTAGAGAGCAAGAGGGAGAAAGCGAATACATGAGTGGGAGTGGCAGAGGGAGAGAGTGTGGGGCTCGATCTCATGACCCTGAGATCAGGACCTGTGCCGAACCCAAGAGTTGGCCACATCTGTGCCACCCAGGTACCCCTCAACTGAGTACATTTTCCAGATCTCACTGGCTTTATTCAAGGATTCAGGAGTCGGGCAGCATCACATCCAGCAGATAGAAAGAAGTTCTGAGGGGCTGTACAAAATGAAAGACTTGTAGGCAGAAGGTGCTGAAAACCAATCTCTGTCCCGGAGCTGAAATAGAACAGAGCTTGGCGATAAAGGGCAAAGATCATTGTGTTACTTTGCCAGGTGAAGGAGGCTGCCGCAGGCTGAGCCTTCAACACTGCGGACGTGCCTGGGGCAAAAGGCTGAGGGGTTTTATAGGAAAGTACAGGATCGAAGCAGTTTCCTTAGGAATCTGGTCTGGGCTTCCAGCCCCATTCACAGTCTTCAAGGTGGTCTCAAGACTAGCACTGGCCACCTGAGTGTTGTTATTAAATATCCTGTACATTGTGGTCAGCAAGTTGTCAACATCTAAACGGAGTTTCTGGAACAAGGGGTTCTATAGAAAATTAAGGGAAGAGGAGGGGGAGGCTTCATGAAGGAGGAAGGAAAACTGCCAGTTTAAAGTCAAGCCTTGCTGAAGCATTAGTGTGTCCATCTTAATTTCCATCCATCTTGATGTTTCTGTAGCAGTTTCCAAGGGAGCAGGACAAAAAAAGTTCCATGAGCAAAAAGTGGATTGGTATGGCAAGGTCTCTCCCTTAGGTGATGGCAGGGGTCCGTCAGGCAGATGATCTCACCAGCGCTGACTGACTGGGTGATTTCCTCATTGGTTTAAGATTCCATTTCTGGGGCAGCCTGGATGGCTCAGCGGTTGAGCACCTGCCTTCAGTCCAGGGCCTGAATCTGGAGACCTGGGATCGAGTGCCACGTCGGGCTCCCTGTGTGGAGCCTGCTTCTCCCTCTGCCTGTGTCTCTGCCTCTCTGGGTCTCTATGAATAAATAAATAAAATCTTTTAAAAAAAAAGAGAGATTCCATTTCTGAGAGCGGCAAAATCGAATTCTCAGTTCGGAGATGTGAAGCTTAGTGTGAGTGACTCAATTTGGGGCCTGTTACTGGTTTTTAACAGTAACAATTTAAAGACAAATAGTTAGCATTATATGCTAAGTGCCTGACTTCCTAGGGGTGGCAGAGAGGGAAGGACAAATAAGGCTCAGTTCAGCAAGTCAGGATCTAAAATTAAACCATGAGTAAAATGCACAGGGTGCAGTATTCATTTTGCCCTGTACTGGGAAGCAGGGCAAAGTAGAAATTTTGCCTGGAGTGATCTAAATTGTTACACTAATCAGCTTTTCTAGGTCTAGAAAAAAAAAAATCAATTTAGCTTTAGAAGTTGTGTTGAGCAGTGATTACAACACAATCCATAAAGTTTATGTAGTATTCCAGGAGTTAAACAAGCATAAACATTACTCCTACTAAACTAATACAGCTTCAATTAAAATCTCAATGTTGTGTTAAAAGACCATTCATTCCTCCTAAACTCCACTGATTTATAGAGATGTGCTTATCTGAAGTACCTGCTCTCAAGGAAAAACACCCGGTGAACATTCGTCTCTTCGTAGTACCTGTGAGCATATGGAGAGAAGGGTTAGGAAGTGAACTTTTCAAACCACTTTTTTTTTTTTTAAGATTTTATGTATTTATTCGTGAGACACACACACAGAGAGGCAGAGACACAGGCAGAGGGAGAAGCAGGCTCCCTGCCGGGAGCCCGACGTGGGACTGGATCCGGGGACTCCAGGATCGGGCCCTGGGCTGAAGGTGGCCCTAAACCACTGAGCCACCAGGGCTGCCCTCAAACAACCCCCCCCCCCAAACCACTTCTTAAGCACAGTTAGCAAATGCAGCACATGAGTTTAGAGAGTATCCTAGCTCAGAGGGAGAAACTTATAAAGCATGTTCTTGGGACGATCCTAGGAACTTGACTATGGACTGAATATCGAATGCCATCAGCCCAGCCTGCAGGAGGGTAAGGTTCACACCTGAGCCGATCCCTGTACTTCTCCAGTGTAACCCCTTCACCTTCACTTTCAGATGGCAAAATAGTCTCGTTTGCATTTTCCCGCAGCTCCATCTGCATCTGGGGCCCGTGTGTTCCTTTCCAACATAACACCCCCCCCCCCCCCCCCCCGAGTTCCAGAGGCACGTGGGCACAAACAGAGGACTGTTAGGAAGGAAGCTTCTTGCCCAACCATCTGCTGTTCAAGTTAACTTCACCGCGATTTCAACCTGTTTATACTCCTTGAAACAGCTAATGTGATCCTGCAGTTTAAAAAGAAGATCCCAGGGGATCCCTGGATGGTGCAGTCCGAGAAGTGCCGCTTCCCTGCAGGTCATGACCCCGGGCTCCGGGGCTCCAGCTCGCAGTGGGGCTGCTTCTCCTTCTCCCTCTGCACCCCCTGCTTGTGCTCTCTCTCTCTCTCTCTCAAAAAAAGTATAATCTTAACATTCTGGGAGAAACTCGGAATCACAATTTCATGCTCTTTAACCTGAGAGAGGAAAAAAAAAACCCAAACAACCCAAGAACTGTGTGTACCAAATAGGCTGTGACATCATTTTATTTATCTATTTATTTATTTTTGTAACATCATTTTAAAGGCGAGGAGCGGCTGGGACAGGCGGCGCACACGCTTCAAATTCGTTTCCCGGCTGCCAGGTTCGCGGGCTCCCCAGTGCTCTCCGCCACGACAGCGCCGGTGACGGAGGCCACCGCGATCCCATTTAGCCCTCGCAGTGATGGCTGGGGTCCAGCAACGTGCTCACGCACCTGAAAATGAGCTATTGATTAGGGGCCGGGGACCCAGCGCGCTCTGAGAAGGGTTTCGGCAGCGCGAACCAGAGGCGCTCGCGGGCGCGGGGGCGGCGGGTGGCGGGGGGGACGCGTCGAAGCGCGCACGCGCGCACCGCGGTGCCTCCTTTACCAAGATGGCGCCGGCTCTGGGGTCGGCGGGGGCGGCCATCTTGGGAAGGGCAGGAGCGGCCAGCTCGGAAGGTCTCGAGTGAGTGAGTGAGTGAGTGAGCAGGCCACGTGGAGCGAACTTTGCCTCGGCCTGTGGGTACGGCTCGCGTCAGGGATGGCGAGGCGGCGGGCGTTGAGGTGGTGGCTGCAGCTGTTGGCGCCCTCGGCGGAGCCGGCGCGTCGGGGCCGGGGGCGGAGGAACCCGGGCGCCGGCCGCCGCGGCCCTTCCCGCTGCGCGGGGGCGCTGTGCCCGGGGGCGCTGTGGGCCGCGGCACCCGAGGGGCCGCAGCGGCGGCGGCGCACGCGCCCTGCCGCCCCCAACGCCAGGTGAGCCCCGCCCCTCGCCCCGCCCCCCGCCCAGTCCCCGCCCCTCGCCCCGCCCCCCGCCCCGGGCGCCGAGAGGTCTGCGCACCGGCTCCCGCTCGCGCTCCAGCTCGCGCTCCCGCTCGGCTCGGTGCTCCCCGTCCGCGGCGCCGCTCGGGCTCGCTGTGTCCCGGCCTCGGGCGGTTCGCGGGCGCCGAGCCCTGCCTCCTCCTCCTGGAGATGCTGCGCCTGTGAGGGGCGGGGGCTCGTTTGACCCGCGCGCCTCGGGAGCCGCGGAGCCCGCTTCTTGTTGCCATTCGCGTTCCTGCCCTCGGGGGAGTCCGCCGGCCCCGCGAGCCGCGTGGATCCCGTCCGGTCCGCACGTCGCCGGGCCGCCGCTCCCCGGATCCGAGGACGAGCGCTGTATGTAGATGAGTCGGTCGGCAGCTTCCTTCGAGCAACTTGTGTCTTTTTTTTTTTTTTCTTTTTTTTTTTTCTTAGCAACTTATTTCTGTTTCGTGTCTGGTATTTACCTTTAAAAGAAAAAAAAAATCCATTCCAACAGGTTTCTCAGCTTGGGTCTTCGGAGTTCAGCAGGGAAGGGAGAGCGAGAAGAGAGGTGCAAGGTGGGGGGGGGGGTGGGCCGGGCCAGCCGGTGCTCTCCGGAGTCCTGGGTTTCCAGAGCGGGGCCCCCCCGCGGGCCGCCGACCTGGCCGTGGGCTGAGCGCGGAGCTGGAGCTGCTGCCGCGGGCCCCCGGCCCACGCGTCCGCCGCAGGTTAGGGGAGCGAGGGAAGTCAGCCTTCCCAAAGCCATTTGGTTCTCGTCCTCGCCTTTACTGTTATAATATGACTCATCTCGTTTACTTTGGCCGAGAGCTTGGAGTGTTTGCTCTTTGATCGTTCTGATTGATTTATCGAGAAAGTCATTGCTGAGCTGCAGCTCTCTGGAAATCAGACCATTTCAGTCTGTTACAAGTGGATACCTAGCAGTTTTGGTTCTGTTTTAGCTACACTGTTTCTGATTGAGCCTCGGACATCGGTATCGTCGAGAAAGAAGTTATGTGATCTTTAAAAAGAAAAGATTCCCCATAGGCTACATCAGCCTGATGCTGCAAGAGAACATTAGGTCTGGGAGAGAAAAAAAAAATTAGGGCAGGTGCACTTGTTTAAGAATTTAAACAGAGATCGGCTTCACTGAAGCTCGTTGTGAGTCCGCTGGAAATACAGTCCCAGTTTTCAAGAAATATTTTTTTTTTTTTTATTACATTCTGCAGGCTTTTCTGCTGCAAGAATTTCTGTAAGTCTCCAGGAGGGGAAAATACTTGGAGTATTTCTCATACTCCATTGTCACTCACAATTCCAAGTTGAATTGTACCGATTTCATACTGCAGAACTTAATTTTTAAATTGGTCCAAGGATAATTGTATGAAGGACATTTTAATACAAGCATTCCATTGTAGGGTTTTGGTTATGTTTTAGTTGATGCAGTCATCCTCTTATGTTTGTTTGAAAAGGGCATTATGTTCCTTTGGTACTTAACGCGTTTGGGAGGCTGAGGGGATTTTTAAGAACATTTTGTCTGTTTGGGTAAAGTATTATTTGCCTTTGATTTTGTTTCATTCTGCTTTTTCTTTGTAGTGGTAGATGGCTGTGGATGTAGAGGGTTTTTCCATTCTACTCTTCTTATGTAAATAAGAATATGCCTGGAGCTGGGGGGCTGCGTTGATCTGGCATTTTAGATTGAAAAGCATACAAGTGAAAGAGTGTTTGCATTGGAGTATTATTGGGGAAATGAACTGTGCATGTAATTGTTAATGAGCACCTTTATCCTGAAGGCCTGTGAGGGCATGTATAAAATGGGCATTAAAAAAATCACTCCTTTGGGGCGCCTGGGTGGCGCAGTCAGTTAAATATCCGACTCTTGGTTTCGGGTCAGGTCGTGGGATCCAGCCCCAAAGTCGGGTTCCACGCTCAGTACAGAGTTTTCTTGGGGTTCTCTAACTCTGCCTCTCCCACTTCCTCTCTCCCTCTCCTGTCTCTAAAATAAGTAAATCTTTATTTTTTTTTTTATTTATTTATGATAGTCACAGAGAGAGAGAAAGAGAGGCAGAGACATAGGCAGAGGGAGAAGCAGGCTCCATGCACCAGGAGCTCGACGTGGGATTCGATCCCGGGTCTCCAGGATCGCGCCCTGGACCAAAGGCAGGCGCCAAACCGCTGCGCCACCCAGGGATCCCTAAAATAAGTAAATCTTTAAAAAAGAAAATCATTCATATGATTTGCAGCATAAGGTTCAAGTAATATACCATTCTAACCGCTATATTACTGAAGTAAGTCTACTTATCTAGAGTTTATAGTGCTCAACTTGTCTTTTGAATTAATAACTATTTGTTTTGTATTTAAATATTTTATTAACACATTTTCGTGACAGATTATGTATGAATTCGTATATCCCCAGGGGCAGGTTTGTTATGTCAGAAATAGTCTTGTCAACTCAGTTGGTTTGATAACATAAGTATAACTATAATTTACAAATGTCTTTCAAGTATTTCTGCATTTTAAGTTTGATTTAATAGACATACAGTATGTGATGATGTTAACCCCATTCCACAGATGAGGCAAACAGGAAACTGAGAGCCTGGGTGATTTTTTTTTAATTTTTTAATATTTTGTTTATTTATTCATGAGAGAGACAGAGGCAGAGACCTAGGTAGAGGGAGAAGCAGGCTCCCTGCTGGAAGCCTGATGTGCGACTCGAACCCAGGACCCTGGCATCATGCCCCGAGCTGAAGGCAGAAGCTCAACCACTGAGCCACCCAGGAGTCCCAAGCCTGGGAGATTTTAGGCAAGGTCACTTATAGCACCGCAGCTCTGGCCTTGCTACCTCTTGTAGAAAGGGGTACCAATGAAGCCAAGGTCGAGTGGTGTGGCACAGTTAGGTTTGGCCAGCATTATGGCCATAGATTTCACCCCTAAACCTGTGTGTGAGTGGTATCATTGGTTATGGGGGTTGGGGCTTGCATATAGATGGATCAGCATCAATTCAGAAGTGTCATTGAGAAACAACTTCATATGTACCCACTACCTAAAACAATCCACCTTTTCCCTGGAAGGCAGCAGATTTTCAGGTTTATCTAAATTGAAGTCTTCCTAGAAGAAGGGACCAGTAGCCAACTAACTGAACAGCAAGTACCTGTACACTTCTGTGCTCATTTTTTTTTTTTTAAGATTTTATTTATTTATTCATGACAGAGAGAGAGAGGCAGAGACACAGGCAGAGGGAGAAGCAGGCTCCATGCAGGGAGCTCGACACGGGACTCGATCCCGGGTCTCCAGGATCACACCCCAGGCCAAAGAAGGCGCCAAACCGCTGGGCCACCGGGGCTGCCCTTCTGTACTCATTTGTAATCTTTCTTGTTTTTAAGAGTAAAGTTGTCAGAATAAAGAAACACCAAGCTTCCTCATTGTTTCTGGCACTCCTTGAACTGGTGAGATGTATGTTTGTTTTGCTTACAGGGCTCTGATGCTAGGACACCTGGACAACAGCAATAATTGGTTTGGGAAGGTTTCTGTATTTGGAGGGTCCTCAGACTAGGAAGATGTTTTGTTCTTTTTTTAAGTTACCGTGTTCCTTCCTTTGGCTTGTTTGGAGAGTTTGTGAAAAGAAGTACTGTGTATATATTCAGAGTATTGTGCTGTTAGATGGTTGAAGTAACTAGGGACAGTTTTTTTTTTTTTAATTTTTTTTTTTTTTATTTTATTTATGACAGGCACACAGTGAGAGAGAGAGAGAGGCAGAGACACAGGCAGAGGGAGAAGCATGCTCCATGAACCGGGAGCCCGATGTGGGATTAGATCCCGGGTCTCCAGGATCGCGCCCCGGGCCAAAGGCAGGCGCCAAACTGCTGCGCCACCCAGGGATCCCAACTAGGGACAGTTTAAAGAGTTTCTAGACTCCCTTTTAAAAAAAACCTTAAGACCCATTTATCTGTTTATGAGCTCAACTAAGTAAAATACCCTACATGGGGTGAAATGTGTCCTTTATCTTTTTATGCAGATCATATGCTCTTTTGGCCCAGGTGTTTTTTTTTTTTTCCCAGGTGTTTTGTTGTTGTTTTTTTTTTGGCCCAGGTGTTTTTAAACATTTTAAACATGATCATGATGAGAGCATGGGTAATGGACAGTCCAGGCTCTATCACTAGCCAGAGCCGGACCCTTGGAATGTCATGTCACCCTCTGGCCTGACCTGCTTCACCTTTAAAGTAAAAGGGTCACACAGTGATGAACGTGAGTCCTGGCATGGCCAAGTTAGAAAGGACTTTAGTATGTTCCGGTTCAACTTCTTAATTTCCAGATTTCCTGTTTCTGCTCTTGCAAGAGTTTTTAGCCTATCATGATACTGCAAAACTGAAACCTCAAAACGAGACTTTTCTACCATTTCACAGAGATGAGGTACTTTTAACATTCTTGGATGAAAGTTGATTCCTGATTCTTTGCACATACACTATCTCAATTTCATATGTAGATGCGATATTTGGTGTGTATGAATGTATATGATGCTGCTCAGAGCCTGTTTTTTTAACTGGGTGAATATGAATGCCAGTGGGCATGTTGAATATCATCACAATAAAGAATTTGACGGCGCAGCCTGGGTGGCTCAGCGGTTTAGTGTCGCCTTCAGCCCAGGGCCTGATCCTGGAGCCCCTGGATCAAGTCCCACATCGGGCTCCCTGCATGGAGCCTGCTTCTCCCTCTGCCTGTGCCTCTGTGTGTGTGTGTGTGTGTGTGTGTGTGTGTCTCATGAATAAATAAATACAATCTTAAAAAAAAGGGCAGCCCCGGTGGTGCAGCGGTTTAGCGCCGCCTGCAGCCTGGGTGTGATCCTGGAGACCCAGGATCGAGTCCCACATCTGGCTCCCTGCATGGAGCCTGCTTCTCCCTCTGCCTGTGTCTCTGCCTCTGTCTTGCTCTCTCTGAATCAATCAATCAATCAATCAATCAATAAATCTTTTTTTTTTTTTAAAAAAAGAATTTGACAAACTGTTCTCAGCAACATTCTCTTGGTTAAGCATGAATAGGAGCTTTATAATTCCTTTTTGCTTTAACTACCCAACTGTCTTAAATTGTAGTTTGTAATAATGCTCATCTCCAATTTACTATCAACTGTTCACATTTTAGTAAGTTTTGTTGAAGACCTAACTTTGCATTTATATCGTCCCTAAAGCCTAGAGTGATCATTCCTCCAGGTTTTTCTGGGACTGAGGTTTTCAAGAGGCAGGACTCTCCGTGCTAGAACTGGGAAAGCCCCGGGCACAGTAGGGTCCCCCTGCCCGAAGTTGTCTCTTCATTGAACTTGATTAACAGTTCTTCCCAGTTGGATAAAATTCCAGGTGGTTATGTGCTGGATGAACTTAGGTATGTTT